TGGAACGAAGTGACAGATAATAGGAAGAATATTCCATATCCTCATCCATACAAAATCCGTATGTTTGCTTTTTAATCTATTAGGAGCATTCAGCATAAATGGGGTTTTGTAAGATCAGTGGCATGCCTGAGAGATGGATGTGGGGCTGAAGAATCTGCATTGCATGTATTTTGGGACTGCCCTTTTGTACAAGGGGATGGGAGGAGGTGCATTCATTTTTGGGGGTGATTGATATGAACTGTGACTTAAGCCATATAGCACCATTTCATATACTAATGCCCAAAGGACTGGAGACACAGAGGACACTGACAGATGTGCAGCTCCCTGCTTTAACTCATGGCACTTCACATAAAATGCCATAAGTTACAGCAACCCACCCTAAACCAAAAGATATTCACTGTTGGCTCAGGGGGGTGGGAGGTCAAGCTCCACTTTAAAGCTGATCCAGGAGGAGCTGCATGTGTAAAGCCTCTCTCCCTAGCTCTGCCCCCCCTCACAGCTGTGGTGCTCTTTGCATGATGGGAGGGGATGGAGCTCCAGGATGGGGTTTGCCCCTCCAATCCCCCTCCTCTCCCCCAGTACAGACTGGGCAAACCCCAGGCCAGAGCTCCATCCCATCCCTTCTCCCCTTCCCATCATGTAGACAGCACTGAAGGTGGGGCTGCGCTGCATCAGCCCAGCCCCAATCAGACAGAAATTAATAAAGGTGTACTCTGCTTTGGAGCACCTTCATCTGAACTAATTTGTTAATTTGTTACACGATCGGGCACTTTTAAAGCATTCTGCAGCCATGCCTTTATGTCAGGATGTGGCTGTACAGCACTTTCAAGTGGCCGATCATGTGACAAATGTGACTTATGTCAGCACCCAGAGACTGAGAACCATACTACATTGTGCAACAGTAACGATATGGAAGGTGAGAAGGCAAGGGACTGGCTTTCACCAAAAGAGTGGAGTTGGCAGTATATGAAGTTAAATACTATGTGGATCGTGGACAACATGGAGAAGGAGATAGCAGAGAAGAGATGGAGGAAAGAAGAATGGTGGTGTTTCTTCCAAAAAGACAAAGGGACGGAGTTAGGAAGGAATTAGGCAGTGTTTCTTTTTGGGTTAGGGAGTATCAGAAGAGGTTAGCATGATAAGGGTGAAAACGGGTGTAATAAGAACAAGGTATTGTTGTAGGTGGAGGTTGTCGAGTTTTGTTTTAATGTAATTTTAGTTGTTTTGTAAAATAAGAAAAAAGGTGCTTATCAGTTTGTTTACCCAATATGGGCCATGTGTTTTATAGTCATGCTCAGTGTTGGCTGCATTTAATCGACTTCATATTTGGTTTCCATTACTGAACACATGCTGCTTTTGGCAGAAGTTTAATGGTAGACAGTATATTTAATGAGGTTTCCTTGTGTGTGACTGTAAGATGAGGAGTTGTTTTTCCCCCCCCCATGCTGACTGGGGGGAAAACCCTTGTCTTGTATTTGAGTAAATGCAGTATTTTCAATCCTTTAACAAATAGTTTGAGCTGGCTTTACACTGCAAGTCTCATTTCTCTATACAAAGTGCCCACTAATATATCTCACAATCTTTAATAAATGTATTTGCATAAACAATTCTAAGGTAAGGAACTGCTATTATCTTTATTTTACAGATGAGAGAAACAAAGTAACTGGTTCAAGTCATGCAGAAAGCCATTGGCTCAACAGAGACGTTTAGGAGCTTGGGCCTCCCAAATTTCAGCGTGGCCTCCTTCGTCTTAGTAGGCCACAAAGATCCACTTCTAGTGGGTGAAGCTGACAATGCTGTTAAGTCAAAACAGAATGCCCAGAGAGGAACGAACAATTAGATTTCCCTAATATGCATGTTCTGCACCCTAATCATGCTTGTGTGATGCAGAATTACCCTACCAGTCACCAAATGGTGCACCATATCTCACATGTGTCAGGACCAGAGTCTAGTCTACTACAAAAAATGAGGCTGTGAAGGGACTAGATTATTGACTTTGGGTAACAAATGAAGGATAGAAAAATGGGCAGTGCACAATAGGATGCAGTACAACAAGGACAAGTGCAGAGTGCTGCATCTAGGGTGCAAAAATATCCAGCACACCTACTGGCTGGGAAGTAACCCCCTCAGCAGCACAGAAGCAGAAAAGGATTTCAGAGTCATAGTGGACTCCAAAATGAACATGAGTTGTCAGTGTGACGAAATCATCAGCAAAGCTAACTGCACTTTATCATGTATCAGCAGGTGCATGACTAATAGAGCCAAGAAGGTGATACTTCCCTTCTATGCAGCATTGGTCAGACCTCAGTTGGAGTACTGCGTCCAGTTTTGGGTGCCATACTTCAAGAAAGATGTTGATAGACTTGAGAGGGTCCAGAGGAGGGCTACTTGTATGGTTAGGCAAATTCACCTTGTCACCTACAAATTCATTAGTGGGGTGCAGCAAGGGATCGGAGATGATCTGTTCACCAGGGCACCTCTTGGGGTAACAAAAAACAATGGTCATAAACTGACAGACAGCAGATTTAGGCTAGATATCAGGAAAAACTTCTTCATGGTAAGGGTGGCCAAAATCTGGAATTGGCTTTCAAGGGAGGTGATGCTCTCCCCTACCTTGGGGGTCTTTAAGAGAAGGCTGGATAGGCATCTGGCTGGGGGCATCTGA